GCTCACTTTGCATTTTGTAAATTGATGAACATAAACAATTACAATATATATTTTTGAAAGTGTTCTTTCTTTACAGCATTTTTTCACACCTGCCTAAAACTTTTGCACAGTATTCTGTGTGTGTGTGTATAATTAAAAGCAGCAGATAATGTGCACACCCATAAACATTTATTTTTATTTTTTAAATCAAAATTATTCTTAGTTTTCAATATATATTCCTTTCAAAGTTAAAATAAATGAATCTGAACTGCTAGATGACTCCTATCAGCAAGGAAAGCTGATGACATGTATTGATATTTTAGACTACATTTTAAAATATCTGATGAATGCTTATATCAATCTGATTTTTCTCACCAAATAAACAACAAATTGAAATTTAAAACTATCTCAATTTTTGTACTTCAGTGGTTCTTGCAATCCCTTTCTCTATTTGATAAAGGAATTGCTTTGTGGATCAATTTCATTCATACTTGGTTCTTTGTCTTTGCATGGGGATTGTTGGGTTATATAAAAGTATTAATTGTTCATTCTTTTTAAGATTTCTCCTGAGGCTGTTGGATCAAAATTATCATCCTCACCTTCACCAAGAAAATCAAGTAAATCTCCAAAATTAAGGTCAAGCCCCAAATCTTCCTCCACTGCTAGTAAGAGGGAAAAGAAGGTTTCAGCAGTATCTTCCCCCCTCCTAGAGCAACAGAGGTAAGTAGATTAGCATATTTTGTAAATAAAATGGCATCTTCTACTTTGATTGTTGTTATGGATTAGTGCTTTAGTTTACCAAGTAGTCCTACAACTCTATGGGGACATTCCCGACATGGAGGTGACCAGCAACAGTGGCATGCTGTGGTTTATATGAAGTAGGATTATTGTGAGGGAGACTTCTATGGAACCTGTTAAACACTAAGGGCCTGCTGCTGATTCTAGATGTGTTTTTTAGGTCAAGATTGCTTACATGATGAGGTTTTCTCCACTGCTTTTCTCTCAATGCAGTCCCCTTCAGATCTACTTTGGCAAATATTTTGGAGCAAGTTCTGAGGATGTAGTGGGGAGGAGTAATTTCTTTTCTCCTGGTTCACTGGATTTCATCCTTTGTGTGTACAGTTTTGCCAAATGGGTGCCCAAAGTATGTGTAGCAGATAGGCACATACAACCAGCTCATCGGCAGAGGCACAGCGGAAGATTTATCCATGGCAACTCCATCAAGAACAGCAATTGTTCATTTGAATGACCGTGGGAGACTTCAGATGGGAGTTTAATGTGATGTTTGTCTCTGTGTACAGCTGTTAGATCAGTTTTGTACTTTAGATGTCCGAAAATACTGCAAGGGTACTCAGGTAATGTTGTTATAATACAAGCTGATTTAATTTTTAAAATATTGGTTTGTGTATTGGTTTTTAGAAATTCAAAAAGCAACCACAATAAAAAGAAAGGTCCTCGTACCCCTAGTCCGCCACCACCAGTACAAGAAGACTCTACCCAAGGGAAAAAACATAAGGAAAAATATAAAGCTAAAGAGAGGGTAGAAGAAAAGCCAAAGGAGATAAAAGAAAGAGGGCGTGATTTTGAAAGACATAATAAAGAAAAAAAAGAGAAACAAAGGTAAATACAGTATATTTAATTTTTCTGTATTGTTCATTTGTCTAATTTTTATGTACTTGTAATCCATGAAGTATTAAATAAAACACAGACACACTTGTGTTCAGATTGCCAGTTACTTCCCACAAAGGATGTGCATTTACAATCTCTTTGTACACTTTTTGTGCACAGTAAGACTCATGAAATATTTCTCAGCATATGTTCTTAACGTTCTGAAAAGAATTGCTTTCTTAGTTTTCAGAATTGAACAAATATTCATAAATCATGTAATGCCTTTCATATGAGATAGGTTTTTATAACAGGGGTAGGCTAACTGTTACCCGCTCTGAAACCTTTTATAGCTCTGTGGAGCTTACTTTGATTACTATTGCTGAAAATTGGTAACATTTTAAGGCAGGAAACAACATGAAAGCTTTAATAGCAGAGTTTAAAAAACAGAGCTCTTCCCCCAAAAAACCAAAAATTCAGCTCCACCCAAATTTGCCAGTTTGCCCTACCCATTAAGGCCCTTATGCCCCCCCCCCCCAAATTATTGAGGGCAAAATCTCTGATTTATAACCTAAGCAGTATTCCCAATTCTCCACTTCTGATTTTTGGAATTATGGGAATTGGCCTTTTTTCATTTTGTTCAGACATCCCCACGTTATTGCTAAAGGCTGGAGCAAAATCTAACCTCATGCAAGCGGGCCTGGTCTCACTCAACACAGTTTTCTGATCCTCTTTTTCTCTCTCTGACCTTCCCTGTGCCTTATCAAAATGTGCTTCAGAGGATCACTCAGTCTTCCAAAACAAATGTTGAGACAAATGGGCTGCGCGTGTGAGAAAATGAGTGGGAAAGGAAATCACTTCCTTCATTGTTCTATTAATGGAAAGATTCCTTAGATGGATGGTGCTAATGGATGCCACTCAGAGAGAGCTGAGAGTGTTTCCTGACTTGCAGATGTCTTACTAACCCTAAACCTTAGGTGGCTTGCCCTTTTTTGAATTTGTGGAAATGGAGAGTGGAGAGTAACCTGTTACTTCCATCTTTGGATCCCTGTCAAGTTTAGCACCCTATAGTATATTTTCCAGAAAGGAGCACGTTTCTCCCTTAAGTGAAGACATGTTGACTAGAGTTCCATGCTGTTGTAAATGACATTGTGTATATGTTGACTGTGTGAATATTCCTCAGAGATACCTCAGAAAGTTCCCATAGACAGAGACGTTCACCTAGTCCAGAAGACCATTCTGGTAGCAATTCTTCTTCAAGAGAATATTCTCCTGCCACAAGAAGAAGGCAGACATCTTGGGCTCCATCTAAATCCAGCAGTCATAAACATTCTTTTTCACCATCTTGCAGGTAGGACTTTTTAAAAAACGTATAAGTTATTCTGTATGTATGTATTTTAGACTTTGTTAATTCATGAGGGTTTGCTGCACTGTGAAAGTTAAAATGTAATAAAACATATTTTGATTGTTAGAAAAGTATATATCAGGAGGGTAACCTCCATCCCACACACATCTCGTGAAGGTCCCCAAACTGATACCCATTCCTTTTCTCACTCCACACTCTGTTTCCTGAGACTTGATACTGTCCTGGCCACCTCACCCTCTTAAGAAAAAGTGTTTATTTTGTTTCAGCAACTGATTTTTTTTTACTCTGCAGATTTTAATATAGCCTTGTATTGTTTACATTGACAGCTATTTCAAAGTTAAGTTGCCACATGGAAACTGGTTATTTTCAACAGGGGGTTCTTGCTGGGTAAGGAAGGGATATTCTTCACCTGCATGCAACAGCCCTCTCCATAAAGAATCCTTCCCGCTGTAGGGAGTCTTTGGAACAGCTTTCATTAACATGAAAGGGGGGTATTAAAAAATTTTTCTTGGTGTTGGGGGGAATGTTTTTGAGGGGAAATCAGTGCTGGAGAAGAAGGGGCTAACCATCCCCTTCCCAGCTCCAATGACCCGCTTTAAAAGATGGTTCTTCCTCAATTTTTGTTCTAAAGCCTAATTACTATGTGGGAGAGAGAGTGCATGTGTGGGAGAAACAGAACATTGAATTTTTCTTTGTGTTTATTGCAGAGAATTTGCCCATGGCCCCACAGTAAGGGGTGCCCCCACCTATTTTGGATTGTGGCCCCTCTCATGGTTGGGATACAAGCCCTTCATATTTGCCTAAGGCAGGTTAGGTCTTAGAATTAATCTTCCCATACCTGTAATAGAAGAAGTAATGTTGTACATAGGGTGTTCTACACGCAGGGTGAAATCATGAGCTGTGAGAAATGCCACAAGTAAGAAGATGAAATTTGACCTGTAGTCTTAACAGAATTTGCCCAGGGAACTTCTGCTATTTGGCATATATGGATATTGAAAATGATTTGAATGCTGCATATTTTTTAACCACCCAAAGCCATACGTTCTATTCAGATACTGGTGAAAACAAATGCCAAGCAATGAAATTGTGTATGGGGCAGGAATCAGCCCGGCTTTGGAACTTCCACTGCTCTTTTGGAACCAATCTGAATGCAATTTTAGCAAGAGATAATTATAAAGATGTGTGTGATAGTGCTCAGAATGTACGTAGTATCAAGATGCATATACAGTTCTGTGTCTGCAGGTCTGCTTCACCACCAACACAGCATCATTCTCCTGTATCGTCGAGGCATCATTCTTCTTCATCTCAGTCAGGTTCTTCTATTCAAAGACGTTCTCCATCACCACGTCACAAAAGAACTCCTTCCCCCTCTTATAAAAGAACAACTTCACCACCTGTAGGTCGATCTTCCTCTCCTTATCCTCACCGAGCATCACCTTCTCCACAGCAAAAACAGACATCTTCAAGGCATCGTTCCCCAGTTAGAGAGAGAAGCCGGCATGATCATGAGCGGATTTCACAATCACACGATCGTCGCCATGAAAGAAGAGATGGTATGAATAACCATAAAGACCATATGACTACAGACATTCCCCATTTAATGGAAACATTCTGTTCCAGAAAGCTTTGTGTAAACCAGTCTCAGCATAAGAGGGATTCCAGTGCATTTAATGTAACTTTTTTTTTTAACACAGGTAATATAAATGTTATATATGGTAGTCCTTCTGGCTCAAAGAAGACATGCTGTTATGCAGCTCATCTGTGGACATGGAGGTGGCTCTGCAGTCCCAATCTGGAAGCACAGAGTCTAGCACAAGGGGGGCACTATCCATTGTTGTAGTAACTGTGGATGTTATGTAACACCGCTCAGAGTTTTCTATCAGTTTTTGATGGCACCTGTCTTCAAAGCTGGTGGAGGCTTCCTAGTACAGGGCTCGCCAGCAGGTTCTGTCAGCAGCTGCAGCTTCTAGTTCCCTTGGCTGGAGGTCACAATGGCATAGGGTTTCTTTCACAATGTCTTTGTAGCGCTTGCCTGGTCAACCTTGAGGTCTCTTCCCAGACTGCAGTACATTATAGAGCAACTGGTGAGGCATACAGTGGTCATCCATTCTGATGACGTGTCCCCACCCACCGCATCTGAGCTCTGATAATCAGTGACTCAATGCTGGTGGACTCTGTGTGATCCAAGACCTCCAAATTGGAGACACGGTCTTGCCAACGAATGCTGAGGATGGAGCAGAGAGTGCACATGTGAAATTTCTCCAGTTGTTTGTTAATGCCTTCAGTACAGAGTCCAGGACTCACATCCTAATAGGTTATTTTTTTTTTACCTATATGATATTTACCTGACTATAAATATAGCAAAAATTTAAATATTTGTAACCTTGAGTTTATCTAAATCGAGTCTTACATAACCCAGAGAGTGGACTGCCTGATTTGTTCCATGAAAGTGAAGAAATGTCAGGTTCTGCTTCTCCTAGAAGTCTTTATGACCAGGTATGAAATTATTGGCGGCAGCATTTAGTTGAACGCAGAGTGCCACTATCATGCTGTCAGTTTCTTTATCAAATCTTGAGAATGGTGGATATTGACTAAACTCAGACTTCCCCAGCATATCTGCAAAGCATCAGGTTGAGGAAGGTTCCCATCTTGCCCCAGATTTTGTTGGAAGCCATTATTAAAGCTTATATAATAAAAGAAGCTTTCTGGAAAAGAATCAGCATGTAGTGGCAAAAGGAAGTTATTACTCATTACCCAGCTATGATACAGTCAGTTCCAGAAATATTGGGACATTGACACAATTCTAACATCTTTGGCTCT